CCCCAAAACCCCAAAACCCCAAAACCCCGAGAATTAAAAGTAAGCATTAATCTAGAGTATTACTTTGTGGTAATAATCAATATGTCTGTATTAAATAAAATTTTTATTTTAAAGAAAGGTTAAATGCGAAAAGAATTCTCAGTAAATGCTCTTGTTAAGGATTTATCTTAGCTCAATAATTTCTGATTCTAAAAGTTCTAATCTTTCAACGTCTAGTCCATGTCTTCTATAAAGCCTGCTTGAGAATCTCTTCGCAAGGCTCTCTCTTAATGTTCCCAATTCCAAATCCTTCTTAAAGAGAGCATAGTAGAATACTCCAACTGTAAAGTTAGCGAACATCATCAAATAGGAGATTGGTTCCATGATATCCCAACTATAGTAGATGAATGTACCACTCATTATACAGGCGCACTAAGCTATAAATATTGAAGATCCAGAAAAAAGTAAAAGCTGAGCTCTAAAATCAGCCTTTTTATATAACTGACTTCTCTTTTCATTTAGTTTCACTAGTTCACGTTGCTTTTAATCTATCAACTTCTCGATTTCAGAAACTTTTAACAAAGACTTATCATGGCCAACAGATCTATAGTAGTTCATTGTTTATTGAAGGCCTTTTAAGATATCTTCAGTTTTTACAGTTCTAGTTTTTGGATAACTGTGATGTAGCTTATTTGCAAAGTTTGCTAAAAGGAATGATGAGTACTTTGGAAGGCCGATTCCAAGGGTATATTGAAGATATGATTCCTCACTCTGTTTGTTTTGCTCCTCGTAATTATGTACAATCGAGAATTTGCTATTGAGATTTAATGCGTATGAATAAATCATCTTAGTATCTACCTTTCTTAAAGTGAGAATAAACGGAATGTTATCTCTATGATTTAGCAATTCAGACTTAGGGATAATTGCACCATCCAAAGTATAGAATTGAATATCCTACAAATTAGAATTTTATGATTGCAAATTTTCTGCTAGGTCTTTCAAAGATTAGTCAAGATTGCCACTAAGATTGATTGTTTGAGCTTCCAAGATTACCTTTAACTGAAATTGGTTGTTCGCACCAGAAAATTCAGCATCAATTTGGTTGAATCTTTGAGCAGTATCTTGCTGCAAGTAAGATATGTTGGATTATGGTTTGGAAACAATGCAATTAGTTTGTTTAATCAAAGTTCTCAGATGAGACTACTTTGAGAACATATTTCTTAGGAGAATGGAGGAGCCAAGCAGATTCATTTTTAAGCTTTGATAATTAAATTTATTCTAAATAAAGATATAATCCGATCATCTAGCATTTTTCAAATCTAAATTAACGGGGTTTTGGGGTTTTGGGGTTTTGGGG